GGCTATCAACGAGAGTGAAGCCGGCGCAGGCGCGAGTGGAGAGGGAGGTGGCCGTAGCAGCGAAGAGGAAGGAACTGCAGGACAGGCAGCCGCCCAAGTCTCGTAAGTCTATAATTGGCTTGGCTGACTTAGTCCCCGTCAAAGGTCAGCGTCGACGCCACGAGTGGACGCCAAAAGAGGATGATCTTCTGCTCGACGTGGAGGCTATCGTCCGCGCCCGGTCTCGCGGTCGAGCCAGAGGACGTCAAGCCGTCCTCCAGGTCTTTCCGGATGTCGGCCATCAGACCTTTTTGCATCGCTTCAAAAAGATCATCGCGACTGCGGGGAAGCAACAGTACTTTGAGCGGCTGGAGCAGGCGTGGTATGATGTGTGGATGGCGCATAGGGGGATGGGCGAGTTGATTGACGAGGATCCCGACAGTACGGCCGACTTTGACCTCAAGCATCATGTCGAGTTTTTGCGGTCTCACATCAGGAAGCAGGATCTGTGAGTTTGGCTTTGGCAAGGCTGACTTTAGGCGTCTTGGTATCGTCGCTCGGCGCCCCGAGGTCAAAATACCGGACCTGCCCGCCAGTCACGCCGATGTGGTACAGCAGGAATGGACCCATGCCAAAGTCGAGCAGCCGACTCTGTACCATGTCAACGACGCTGGGACCAGCGACGAAACCAAACTCGCGGGGTTCGGTATGGTGCCGCTCAAGCATGAGCCAAAGGAGATGCGCTTGGGGTCAATGGATCGCTCTCGGGGATTGTTGAGGGCGTGTCTCAAGGTGAGCAAACGCTTGGCTGGGCTAATTCAGATGGTTGTCTCTACCCCAAACGAAATCTACGACCAACCCACCGCGACCGCCTTCCTCGCGTGCTATCCCACCCAATCGCGCATGTCCGAGGTCAACAATCTCGTAGACGAGAGAGCGTTCGTCAAGCAGAACAGTGCTAGCGCCACTTCGCGATACTTTGGCTACAGCAATACCTGGAACACCTATACCGACGGGCCCATGCCAGGCGAGATGTTCTCCGAGGCCAGGGCGATGGAGGAGAAGCTCGAGACCGAGGAGATGGAGTGGAGGGGGTTATGTTCGGCGGGAGAAATTGCTGCGCTTTTGGAAATGACGTCTGACGGAGTGGTGAGTGGACGCAAGGCTAAGCTGATATAAGGCGGATATCGACTTCGATTACAAGGAGTTCCGTCCTGTCCGGTACCTGCGGAGCACATACAACACTCGGCAGCTAGGTGAGTTCTAACTTGGACGTGCTGATGATAGATGATACCGCTTTCGAGTTTGACTATAACGTCGTCAAGGTCAAGGACGCGCCCTCCACGCAACTCGCCATCCTTCCCGTACCCCATCTCGGTCCTACCCTAGCCACTTGGCCCGATCAGTACGAGGATGTCCACGCCGAGGTAAACCACATTCTGGACCTCGTCCATACCGCCGGCCCAGACGGGCTCACTCGCGCCCAACTCGACGCCAACTACCCCTCTTCTACCCTCTTTGCGGTATGCGCATCGCTTGCGGCGGACTCGCCACCCGAGGTGTTTTGGGCAGGATACGACACCCCCAGGCTCATCTCGACCCAACATTGGGATGACTGGACACATGCGGTACCGCGCAAGAACATCCGGGTACGACCCAGGCGATGGGTGGATATCTTTGGGGAGATGCTCAAGGAGGACTGGGAGCGGTGCTTGAAGTGTGCGGTGGGGTATGTGATGGCTCGGCCTGGAGTACTCACCGTGGGTTTCTCTTGTTGGTTGTGGGGTATAGCTGATAGTCAGATGGACCTCCGCTCGAGGATGGGGATCGTGATGGATAGGATGGAGGTTAACGAGGTGCTGCAATACTTGGAGGAGAGGGGAAATCTGCGAAGAGCATGGATAGGAGGGGGAGGAGTCATACCTCCGATTGAAGCGATGAGCTCGGCAGAAGAGGGGATGGTGGGGTATTGGCCGGGGAGGACGTGGGGGATGGAGTTTTAGATGTTCTTTCGATTTCGCTAATTTGTTTATAGGTTGTGCTAGCTGTGAATTAGACGTTGTGTAGCAGAGACTTTGGCATGCCACAACATTACATGCGATCGGGGTTATCGCGGTCAACGAAATGCTGTAGGGGAGTGTGGGCAGAAGGAGAGAAGAGTAGGGAGGAGCGGCGAGTAAGGTGGTTGTGTATGGGTGCTGCCCAAAGAAACGGACAAGGAGAAAGGGTGTATGGAGGAGAGGGTAAGAGGGGGAAAAGGGGGAAGATGAGGGAAGAGGGGGGAGCACTGAGGAGGTAGAGGGGGAAGAGGAGGGAGAGGGGATGGGGAGGGAAGGAGTAGGAGAACAAGGGGAACTAAAGTTGGCGCAGCTGGAGGGAGATGAGGGAGAAGGCGGGGAAAGGAAGAGAGAGAGGATGGAGCGAGAGGTGAGCGCAGCGGTGTCCATGGGGTGAGCACACGTAAAACTGACGAAGGTGTCAGACAATTGGAGTTCCGTCAAAGATCAGCTGGCAATCCGATGAAGATTTGCATGCTAAATGTCACTTAGATTGTGGTAGAAATATCGTGCTTTACAAGCACGTGTAACCCCCGTCGATGGTGATCTCTGCCCCGGTTATGTACTTGCTGGCGTCCGACCCGAGGAGGATGACTGCGCCCTTCAAGTCGGAGGGGTCTGCCATTCGTCCCTAGGATATCAGCTCCCATCTGGCGCCAGGGGGAAGTACGCACCATGGGAATACGGTGAAGCCATTCGTCTCGGAGCTTGGTGTTGGCGTCGAGAATCACCTTGGTCAGGTTGGTCAGGGTATAACCGGGTCTGTAGATCAGTAGCGTCCGCGGAAGCTACACAGGAAACGTACGAGATGCAGTTCACGCGAATGTTTTGAGTGGCCCACTCGACAGCAAGCGATCTAGCCATGTGCCGCACAGCAGCTTTGGAGAAGTTGTATGGAGTTTGAGGTTGGGGAACGTTCACGACCTAACAGTCAGTCACAAGATCAACTACAAGGCGGGATGCTTACCGATCCAGACATGCTTCCGATCATGGTGATCGACCCCCCTTCTGGCATGAGCTTGGCGGCTTCCAGAGCGCAGAACCAAGTGCCTTTTGATCAGCTACACTACTACTGCGCGGGAGTCAGAAGACCAACCCATGATGTTGATGTCGAGCAGCTTGCGAATTTTGTCGGTCGGGTACTCGTGGGCGACAAAGTTCTCGACAATGCCAGCAGCAGTCACACAGGCCTGCCTTTTCAGCGTCATTTCAACCCTGCTTTTCTTTTACTGCCCGACCGCCTCAATTTCCGCATGTCCGACCCCCAACTCCTCCGCCTCTCCTGTCCAATACCGTCTTGGTGCAGCCTATACACGATTCTCCCCATCTATGCGTGCCATGCTCGCATTCCATCCTATTCGAGCAAAGAGTGAGAGAGAAGACTCACGTCAACGCGACCGAACTCTTCCTTAATCTTGGCGAAGGTAGCTTTGACGCTCGCTTCGCTAGACACGTCGCAGCCTAGACCAATCGCTTTGATCTCTCCCGGTTGGGCATCACCGTGCTCCACTTGAACATCAGCCGAGATACCGAATCAAGAGGACTTGACGTACCGAACCAGTCTGTCAGATCCTTCGCAGCAGCCTCGGCATCGGCCTGTTTGAGATCGATGAGCACGATAGCATCGGCACCGCTGCTGCGTTAGCGATTGCTTGACCGAAAGGGTGAGATGGCGTACCTCTCCACAAAGGTCCGTGCCATCATGTTTCCGAGACCTCTTGCCGCACCTGTCACGACGCAGACCTGACAGTCAGTGGCTTCTCTGAGTAGGACGAAAGAGAGGGCTGCTCACTTTGCCATCCATACTCAAACTGGCAAGAGTTCGCTTGGAGTGCTTACCGTGGCCGGGACCTTGGACATCGTGTCCGATGTCGTCGCCAGCTTTTGGTTGCTGTTCATCAGCTATCAGTCGCTCCATGCTAGCCCAGAGAGGTAGACAGATATCGCCACCATACAGAACAGGGGTTGAGATCCTCCACTCATGCCATCCAGCTTTGAGCCCGCTACCACGCTTGAAGCCTTGCCAAGCAGCTATGAGACATACCTTGTGTGCGAACTCAAACTCTCCACTGACGCCAGCAAGCTTCGGTGTCACCTCCTTGCGGTGCTTGTCGTAGCCTGCAGAGTACTGCCCGTCCTGGGGGCTCTGGGCGAGTGCTTTGGAATCGGCGAATCCGCGGAGGAGCAGAGGGAGTTGAGTGGGCCGGAGCGATAGAGAGGATCGTGAAACCGCTCGAGCAGTCATGGTGGTAGCGCGGATCATGCTCGCCATTGCGCACGAAGAGGTATGTTAAACGTATAGCTGTAGACGCTTTTTCAGGACAGGCAACAGAGATCGTCAGTGCTGTATCAAAGCCAACTTTGGCACAGTATACTGTACTAGCGCATCTCGGGTCTTCGGAGCGAAGCCGTCGGCCCGATGACGTAACAGCCAGCCGGAATACTTGCTTGTATGTATATGCAGTCTGTAGCCTCGAGTAGCTCTGAATGAGAGCTCCCCGGTGCTTGTTGCTCAGCTTTGCTTGGATTCAGGGCGCCACGAAGACCATCGTTCCATCCCACGCATGCATTGGTCTCGTCCATGCTGGCGCGGACAAGGGAGAATTGCAAGATCAAGGGTCACCTCGCGTCGAGGAATGAGGAGCTGGAATCCAGGCAAAGTGGCCGTCCACGACGACATACACTCGGCAAACCCGTGAGGACCCTTGAACCCTTCCGATGAACGGGCCGAGCGCCTGGGTTGATCCAGCTCTTGGCACTGTCGCCTATCGAGTGCGGATAAGTCCCCTACCCTGCCCTTTCTGTGCTGCTTATACCTAGTATACACCTGCGCGCAAGGCCTCCCCTCCGTTCCTATGGTATGTACATACTAAGATGTTTCTTTGTGTGTTTGCCTCGAATGACCTCGCATTGTACACACGTATCCTCTGGTGGTTGGAGAAAGCAGAATCTGTGCGCGGTGACTTAATGGGCGTGGGCGACGGAGTATAGAAGGGTGAGCGAACTAGTGGCTCCTGGAACCCAACCTTCAGCAACGAGGGCACAGCACTCGCGTTGTGGAGTAAAAGACGGTTTGGCTCTGCCTTTACAGTAGTGTACACAGTCTAGGTAGACAGCTAGCAACCGCTTACCAACATGCACTGCAGCTTGTCCCCCCTCTAGCACAGTTGCAAACACACCGGCTCCTCGACAGTTGACAATTTGTGACCCAGCACCTCTCCCTTATCGACACACATCCCTTCGCCACCGAGGCAGTCCACCCTGGTATCACCCAATCACTACCCCTCTCTCTCGTCATCAGCCCACGATCAACTCACTCACCACAGCGTTCCATAGAGGCTGCAACTCCTCCTCCTCCGGGTTCAGCATGCGAGGCTGATCTGTACGGACTCCATCGACGCCGGGGCGGACGGAGAGTAGTCGGTCTACCGTGGCGGCCCAGAGTTGCTGAGGATGATTCTTGGAAGCTTTTTTATACCGGACGATAGGAGGTATATCGAGGGTTGCGGGTTGGAGCTCGGCCACGGATGGGATGAAGGGGAGGTCGGCAAGGAGGTGATGGTATTCAACGAGTATGTCCGCGCTAGACCCGAGCTCGAGACCGAGATCGTCTAAGAATTCGGCGATATCTGGCACCGTCGAGGTGACGTATGGCTCGTTCAGAAGCTCGTGCGCGAACCTGAGCCGCCGATAGCCACGCTGGCTAGTCCGCGATGCCCCGTCCAGCGTGCAGTTCCGATGCTGTCCGTTCTGATCCGTGATCGCCGGCTGCGAACAATCGAGGCACCGCCGTATCTTGTGCAACGTCTTGGACGTTGCCGTTGCGAAGTACGCCGGGCTTGCGAGCTCCTGGAACGCCGCTCCGATGGTCCGAGTAGATGTCCAATTCTCCAGATTACGTTTGTGACCCGCGTTGGACCATAGACCAAGATGCTCATGGGCATAAGCCGTACCCGCATCACCTGTAAGCCCACGAGCTGGATGGCTCACAGCCGTGGCGGCTGCGCGGAACAGGTGCGTGCCCTTGGGGAGCGCCATCAACCACTGCTCCCTCGCCGACGCGTCGAAATCGGGAGGAAAGGGAGGACTCTGGCCAGAGATCCCGTTGACGCCCTCCTCTTCCAGCCGTACGAGTAGCTCTCCTAGCGAATTGTACTGAGCTCGGCGGGTGGGTAACTGCTTGTCGCCAAGTGCGTATATACCATGGGTAATGCGGAATGTAGCGGACGAGCGGAAGTTTGTTGATCGCTCTAGGGCGATCTAGGCTGTCAGCCGTGACTT